TCAACTAGTCAAGAAAAATAATAAAGACAAAGATAATAAAATTGGAATTAAAAAATCTGTATATTGAATTATATATTGACTATATAACTAGAATGTTAAGGAAGTTAAAATGACAAACATCAATTTTTTTCATTTCTAAAAGAAAAACAACTCTTTAAAAATGCTGTCAAAAAGAAATTATTTCAATTTCAATTATGTTCATTTCAGATATTCTGACCTGGTTTAGAACTCGGATAAATAAATAAATGCTCACTTTCTCTTCAGAAAACTGAAAGGCACAGTTCTGTGGAAAGATCTGTGGTGCTGAAACAATTCAACAGAATATGTGTAAGCTTATAAAATTCATATTTTAAACATTTGTTTGTTTTATCTATTTTTAGGCATCAAAATGTAGAATAATTTGAGCCTAATCTGGAAATTGGTACAGATGTTGACCTGGAGCTGATCTAGATCTGTACAGTTCAACTTCAATGTTTTGCACTGAAATGTCTAGAATGTTATACTTATCACCGGTCTTATTGGTACCAACAAAAAAAATGATAATTTGGGAAAGAAGCGCAAATATTGAAGGTAATTCTATTATTTCATTTTTCGTAGGCTTAAAAGGTCCTAGCCTGAGCATCATAGAAGCACAGTAGATAAGCAGACTTGGTATGTTGTGTTTTGCAGTCGATCTGTTTCTGTGTGGAAGGAGTGGAGAGCAGCGGTGCATCTGACTGGAGAAGGACGACGGCCTCACTGTGAATCTCTGGTTCATCTCGAGCCTTGATTTTCAACTCTAGCAACATCATAGCAACACGCCTTGTGGATCAGCAGCCACTTGAGGGAAAAGAGAAGATATTTAAGCAGCATCTTTTTGTCCCTCAGAATCTCTTTACCCCATCATTTTCTCTGTGGAACTTGACATTTAGTAATACTGCCTATTTTTTCTGGACTCACCAACTTTGAACCTCAACTTATTGGACCTTGTTTCTGCTGGAGTTTCCTCAGAACTGGCCTCGTCATGCTAGTGTGTTACTTGGAGACCACACAGAATGCCATACCAATGCAAAGTGAAGGTGTTGAGACTAATCATATAGCCTTGTCGATAAATGTGCTGATGTGGCGTTATAGTGGCCTGTTTCCTCCTCCTTTCAGATTAGGCTTTCACATAGGGAGGGGATGTGCAGCGGGAATAACAATAAACATTCAAACGACAGTACCACTGGGCTCCGTCTCTGGTTCTTTATTATTGATGCAATTCTCAGCTTTCATTTTACTTTTAGCAATTAAAAGCCTCCTCTTCAAAAAACCAGAACTGGAACTTTAAATGAAATCATAAATCAAATATGATATAGAAAATTATTCCACTTTTAACCTCTTCCACATTTAGTTTCTATTAATTCTGATTTTGAAAAACTGGAATTTCTGAAATATGCACTCTACATTTATAAAGAATATTTCTAGTTATGTTCACTTTGCTATAACAATGAAAATTAAGGAGACTCAAAAAAAGTCAGCTACTCTCATACTGTCTAATCTCAACTTTTAAAAAAGTGATTTAATTGCGCTTGAACACCAAACGTCATAATTCATAAGCAAACATCAACTTGCTTAGGGGTCATTGTCTTGTTATATGTTCCAATTCTGCTTCAGTTTTAGGAATTTTATAAGTCTTATTTCTTTCAAATACCCAGTAAATTCATGTGCACCTAAGCTGAATATCAGATGTTCAAATAGGGCAAACCTCTTGAAATACTGAGTCACTATATTGTAACCATGTGCAGCTAATGTGAAGCAGTGTGAAACTCCTTTGTCTTTCATGCAATGAAAGTCTTCAACTCCTCATTGGAGGTTGGAAGGAGGGTTAACAGGATTACTGGTACAACAGAAACGGAGCGATTATAGGATTGGGCTGTTAATGAATTGAATGACAACATTAAGTACTTGATGTTTCGGTACAATGTGGCTGTTTGGAATTGAAATTTTCCCTAAGGGAAAACTCAAAAGCGATTAATAAAGTAACTATCTATATGGTGTCCCAATTTATTCTCCATCAGAAAATGTTTCTTTGATTTATATTGTATAGAAAAAAATTTTTTTCTTTAATTCTTGCTTGTTTCTATTGGTAATTCTTCAAAACTGATCAAATTGAAATTCAGTATTATGTCAGAAAAGCACACAAGTTGTATCCCGTTTTATTCAATTAAGGATATTCTTCCTTGTCTGATTTATTTAGGAGAAGACTTTACAAATTCAGCATTATAAACTGAAGGAAGACATGGGACTATCATCTGATTACATTCGCTACCTCTGAACTTTTTCACATTCTGGGGTTGGGTTACCCACATACAGTGAGTTGCGAAAGTATTCCCTTGAACTTTTCCTATATTCTCACATTATAACCAATTATAAATAGAGAGTTTAACACACAACGTGGTATACAATTGTGAAGTAGAAAGAAAATGATACATCATTGAAAACGTTTTACAAATAAAAAACTGAAAAGTGCGGTGGGCAAAAGTATGCAGGTCCCTGAGTCAACAGTTTGTGGATCCACCTTTTGCTGCAATTCCAGCTTAAAGTCTTTCAGGGTTTGTCTACCACAGCTTTGATCATCTAGTGGCTGAAAATTTTGCTCATTATTCTTCTGCAAAATTCAAATTCAGACATACATAATTGATCCCAAAGTAAAACATCTCAAGCTCAGTCAGATTAGATGCAGAGCATTTGTAAACGGCAGGTTTCAGATCTTGTTTTAAACCATTCTATTGAGACTTTGGCTCTACCGTATAGTTTTTACAATATCTGTTCTGCCTAACAGGTTCCAATCAAATTCCTAAGTCACGTTGCTGATTGATATTTGTGTAGTATGAAATATTTTGATCTGGCTTTTACTTTGTTATATTCACTTAGTGGATATATCACTAAGTGAATATAATACGGTTTTTAAGTGCAATTAAATCACAGTATAAGAGCAGTTTACAGTGGTTATAACAGGAACTAATTGGGACCAAAATAAGACAGAAAGTTATAAGTATACAAAATGCATATCTCGTGTTCTATATACCTTGCAAATAGGGGACAAAGACAAAAAAAATACAATAATGGGGTTCTGGCTGAGTTTCATAGAATTAACTTTTAATCAGACTGAGATATTGAAAATCAATAAAAGCACTAATCAAATTGAAATTCAATTTGATTGGCAACTTGGTTGCCATTTTGGCTAACCTTTCTTAATGTTGGCTGGAGATTTTCATATGCAGCTGTAATACGTTCCTTCTCTGACCTCGGCAGGGAAAGGACAGTGCTCCACTGCTCAATAACAAAGGCAGGTTCCTGAATGAGCTTTTGGTGGGCAAGCTCCTCAAGTAGTAGTTCAATTTTATCAGCTGTTGGTACTCTTTGACAGTTATGGATATCCATGATTTCCAGAAGTTCTTCTCTGTCAACACTCTGAAAATCTGAAAGGCAAGATTCAAACACCATTCGATCGTACTCTGTAACATACCTTAAGAAGCTATCAACAAGAGGACTCTTTATAGAACCCAGAACTGCTTGTTCCAGTATTACTGGAGCAAGTTTTATAGGCAGGTACTTCTGTTTTTGCCAGCCAAAGGCAATAATTCAGCCAATGCTTTCCCATTGTTGCTGTCCAAAATCATGACACAAGTAGGGCACCTTAAAGTTATTGCCCATTGTGTACTGTTCATAAAAGTCCTGCCAAAACTCTGAGAGGACATCCCTCAAAACTCCTCCATCATCAACAGCCTTTTCTCTCCTTCCATCAGGGAGCACCACTTGAATATATATGTCCTCCTGAGTGACACCTGGATCACAAAAATGTGAAATTAGTTCTTTCAGGATCTGGCCACGGTGAAGAACAAGGCTTTTCTTAATCCCTTCTCTCTGAACAATGGGCACGTTCAAAGAATCGGTAACACTTTATTTGAAGGGGGTTGAATAAGACTGTCATGACACTTTCATAAACGTGACATAACACCTGTCATGAACATGAATAAGTCTTCATGAATATTTATGACTGTTGTCAAAAAGCGTCATTCGATAAATTATGACACTTTTATTACAAAGTTGACATTCGAAATGTCTTTGTTATGACAACTTGACATTAACCAAGAAATCATTACTGTTTAAACTTTACCTTTAATAACATAAAGTTACCTAATTTTTAAAGTGCAATCAGTAATACTTTTATAACAAATTTATATGACAGTCTTATTGAACCCCCTTGAAATAAAGTTTTACCAATGACATTTCACCACGACTCTTACTTCCCTCAATTGGTTCAGATGGTAATGATTACATATACAGAATTGTTTAAGTTTCTGAAAAGTAAGAAGACAGAGGCGAGTTGGAAAGTTCAACAGTAGCAGCTTGAGTAGACCAGAATATGGTGCACAATACTCAAAATATGTTTTTCCTTCTGTTTTCTGTTGAGTTGCTTGCGATTGCTTTTTCCACCCAGGCATGACAGCTGCACACTGATGTGCAGTTTTGACAGGGGGGGTTTGGGGAAAATAAGATTTTGTGTAATGAAGAAGTTTTTGAACACAAGGCAGAATAATAGAAGGTGAAGATTATCTCAGAGAGACTTCCCAGCAGACTCACACATGGAGCAAAAACGGAGCTGAGATTCACAAGTAAATCTCTATGTGCTTACACAGGCAGAAATTTGCATGTCCATTTTTTTTTTTTTGAAACAGAATGGATATCCATAGTTCTTTTTTTGAATCTTTTTCTTTGTGAAAGAGCTCAAATGATCATGAGTAAGCCTGAGGAATCTTAATTCCTCTGGCTTAGTTGTCATTTACATAAAATAAACTGTTTGGTCCAGAAGTTATCAGATGAAAACAGCAGCAAAGAGAAGAAAAAAATTAAGAAAAGGTTTAAAAATTGCATCAGCGATGTCTCGATACCGATATTTGTATTGGTTAAATATAAGTTATTTGATGATCCCCTGAAATTAAAAAAGAAATAAAAAAAGACAAAAACAGAAGAAGAAGAAGGGAGATGGTGTGAGGGAGAGAAATTATCTGCAGTTTAGAGATATTTGGAGGTAAACAAGCAGACTGTCCTCTGAGCTCAGCTGGGCTGCAAGAGGAGAGGAGAAAAATAAGTTAGATCATACCTAAAAAGTCTAATAAATACTAACTGGATAACTATTCTGTATTGGTACTGGGAATCGACACGTACCTAAACTGAAGAAGTCATGTGGTGGTGATGATGGTGCCTGCTCACCTGTACGGATTTTCACAATACTGCTTGGAGGCCCTCGCCCAACACTATTGGAGGCCAGGACACGGAATTCGTATTCAGAGAAGGGGCTAAGACCGCCAATGCTGTAGCGACTTGAAGCTACACCATCTATCTCCTGAAAACCATTGCCAGAAGTTTTAGAACGGTACTGAACCAAATAGTAGGACACAGGCTCAGCGTTTCCAGACTTCCATGTTAGAGTAACACTGGTGGCTGTGGTCTCTACCACCTGCAGAAAGGTAGGCATCTTCAGAAGAGCTGTCAGAAAATGAAGACAGGAGGTTTAGTAAGACAAAAAATGACTTCTGTTCTCACATAAACCTAACTGCTTAATTGTCCTGGAAGTCTTTTAGCTTATATTACTAAATATTATGCTAATAATTAAACTTTTTAACCATACAGTCTGCAAAGCAAGAGCTATACAGGATGTGAATGATGTGAATAACATCATATAACATATATATGCTATATATGTGAATAACATACAGGGTTTCCCCCAGCATATTATAAGAAAAAATACATATATATCACTTAAATTTCTTATTTTTATCTTAAAGTCTCTGTTGTTCTGACAGTTTCAATCGCAGAGCACATTTATTGATAAAAGATAGGTTTATAGTTTATGCATTTAAAGCCAGCAGAGCAGGCTGGTGCATCTGCTTTATCTGTTAAGTTTACCTCAGCGCGGAGCGGATCGCGCACGCCTCCTTTCACTCAAACTGGACACATGGTGACCTGTATGGATATTTACATCAATCCTCTGTGAGGAATTTTGGTCTTAGGAGAACCTTCAAGGTAGGAGTTTAAAACGAACCGCATTAGCTCTGGTTGTGCAGCTCTGAACCACCGGAATAATTTGTAGTCACGCTTTCAGAGGCGCGCATTGAGGGAGTGGTGAGAATGATTTATCTTTGTGAACAATTATGTTTGTTCGCAAACATAATTGTGTGTTCACATAATTGTGAACACACAATTATTTACATCTCAACACGTCAGCGTCAGCCTCGGCTCCAGACGAGTTTAACGGGGGCATCGAGGGTTTAATACTATCATGCATTTTACGTGACGGGTGGCAACCCCAGTCTATACTATAAAAATGTTATTAAGATTAGAGCCTAAATACGTTCTATTTCCAAAACAGAAAGGCTACGTAATGTTAGCCAGTTAACAAATTACTATTGCTAGCCTAGCATATCAACTAACAGCTAGAAAAAAACAAAACACGTACCTTCGTAGTCAAACTGGTATCAATCAGCGAGGAATTTTTCCATTTTAGATTATGTTGATGAAGAAAAACTGTTTGCAAATAGTGATATATCTTCAAATCGTATTTGTGGCAGCTTCTTTAGAGTCCAGAAACAGCGTTAACTGCACACACCGGAACTAAAGACACACTGGATTGAGGGATGAATGAAAGGGTTTTAAGGCACTCCCCCTGCTGGCAACCCCATGCGTAGCATCATAAAACAATATGGAACGATACACTTTGAAAATATATCCAAATACATGAAAACAGAAATGAAAAATACTTCTACAAATAGATGGGCTGTCATTGGTCTTACAGTGTATTACAATAACATCATTGAATATTTATACATTGATATCTTGTATACTTAGTATCATGCACAGTTTTGTAATATAATAAAATTTGTAATTTGTTATAATATATATATTTTTTTAATTATTAATATTTGTCGGTCTCTTTAATTTGATCAGGTTTTGATCTGGGTTGGGCTTGTTTGGAGCGTTCCATTTTCAATGACAGTCCTATGCTGCCATCTAGTGGAGGGTTAGGAATATAGGATGAAACTCACTTGCACATTACAGCAGACAAAATAAACAAACAAAAAAATGGTAGGGGGGACAATCTTGGGACAGAGAATATGTTGAAGGGGCCTCACATACCCTCCATGTTTTGTCGGTGTGGCTCCTTCCCTTGACACAGCTGCCATTGACCTCCATTCATTTGAAGAATTGCTCACTCAAAACAACTCCAAAAAAGTGCTCTTTTGACCAAACTTGGTTATCTATGCCCCCTCCAACCATCTGCAGGTGCCCACCATGTTTGGTGGTCTGAGCTAAAGACTCCCATTAATTTTTCTGCCTAGTCAGTCTGGCTAGGAATGTCCTAAAGTTTTTAACTCTAACCTCAGTGACCTCTTACTTCAATTTAGCCAGATTTTATTAAATTTTTATTTGCTTTTTAACTCTGTTTTGGAAATAAATCACACAACTTTTAAAATGCCATCTCTGAGCCTCTGTTGGATGAAGGATTTGCTGCTCAGAAGACTGGACTTTGGTTTTAAGCACCTACTCTTTTACTCTTTTAACCATGTTTTTTGATTGATTTCTCTTCAAACTCAGTTTTTAAAACAGAAATCACAGCTCAGATTCAAATCTCATCTCTGAGCTTCTGTGATGTGCCAAAAATGTGTGCAAATGCCATTCTGAACATCAGAAATGGCCTTTAAAATGTCTCAGCATTTCAGCATTTCCCAGAATGCATTGCATAGTGGGGCTTCAAATTCTAGCTTGTAGTTCAACTGTGTTTGCTGCAAACCTTAATAAACCATATACTGTTGTGATCAGAATGAGCTCAGCTGTTGAACTGGATGACTTAGAATGAACTTGGAAACATGTAGAAAATCAGCACCATGACTCAGAATGGGGTGCATTTTGTTGAACTGCTGCCTGCTGATCATAGAGGACACATCCCATGGTGGCAGCTTTGGGTAAGTTAATGTGGTCATG